TTTGGTGTAGTGTGGGTGGAATAATATTGAGTGCTACAATGCTGCTTACCTAGTACTGAGTGTGGTGTGGGTGGATTAATATTGAGTGCCACAATGAAACTTACCAGGTATTTGGTGTAGTGTGGGTGGAATAATATTGAGTGCCACAATGCTGCTTACCTAGTACTGAGTGTAGTGTGGGTGGAATAATATTGAGTGCCACAATGCAACTTACCAGGTACTGAGTGTAGTGTGGGTGGAATAATATTGAGTGCCACAATGAAACTTACCAGGTATTGGGTGTAGTGTAGATTGAATAATATTGAGTGCCACAATGAAACTTACCAGGTACTGGGGGTAGTGTAGGTGGAATAATATTGATTGCCACAATGAAACTTACCAGGTACTGGGTGTAGTGTAGATTGAATAATACCAAGAGCAAAGACTTCATTGCTAAATGGCATGACTGCAATGTCATCACTGGACAATGTACTGATAACAACATGATGATATTCATTTAACCAGAACAGTCTGTTGCTATAGTAATGCAAAGCAGGTGTCCTAGGAAACAGAACATTACATTAAAAGCTTTTATTTTAAAATGAAAATATCCATGAAAATTTAATTTTGATTTTATTTTTCTCTCTCAGTTTTATTTTTATAACTTTTATAGTTCAAATCAAATTTTACTTACATTGTAGATGAATTCACCAGAAATAATTTCTTTACTGTTGCAACTAGATGAACACTGTATAAAAACAAAACAAATTGAGATGTAGAAAAGTATTTAATATTGTGTTTGAAGGAATAACACACATGTGGTACATTATTGTATTGTATATTACAGTGTGGTACATTATTGTACAGCATATTACAGTGTGGTACATTATTGTATTGTATATTACAGTGTGGTACATTATTGTATTGTATATTACAGTGTGGTACATTATTGTACAGCATATTACAGTGTGGTACATTATTGTATTGTATATTACAGTATGGTACATTATTGTAAGGTACAGTACTCATTTCGCCCAACTTCCCGCCCGCCTCGATTTCGATCACTTTTTTTTAGCTCGATTTGTTCAATTCGACCGGACAATTTCAGTTTATTTTTCCGACCACGCAAATCTGAACGTATCCGCTTGCGTGCGCGATTCGCTAAAACACTCGCTCACCTGACAACGCAACCGCCCGCATTTACAGTTCATTACCTATTGTTTCATGTACAAGTGTATCATTTTTGTTTTTATGACGTTAAAAGAAGAATAAATACAATCAGAAATTTATAGAACGACCGTTGAAAAAATACGGTGGGTCAACCTGCCATATAAAATTGGTAATATTACATACGGGTAGTAATAATGTCCATCATAAATAAGATCGAAAAAAACATGTGAAATCAAATACGGCACTGACACAGACACAACTAATATGAAATAAAACCATCTATTTTTGGTGGAGAGCGAAAAATGTCTACTGTAGAGTATGGTGTAGGGTGACGGTTGCCATGCACGCATGGTTTGGGTTTAACACGAGTCAAGTTGTAGCCGACATCAATGGAGATCGCGCTTTTTAACGAGGCGGCTGGCAAGCGGACTAACATGTTACGTAAACTTGTTGAATTACAATTATGGTTTTTATTTTTGCGCCCAATGTCTCGTTATAAAATACAGGATTCAAATTTTGCAGGGTATTCTGTTTTGCGAACTCTGGGCGAAATTCTTCCATGAGCTGTACGTAGTTCACTTACAGCCGAAACAAAGTCAGCTTGAACATTAAGTTGTGAGACGCGACAAAACAAACGCTGCCAGTGATAGATTTCATGAATAAAAGAACAAAATAAACGCAATCAAAGGCGCCGACCACATGCGTTGGAAATAAATAGAACACGCTGCGACGAGAATCGCACCTGCATCTCGATGACGTCTCCGGTCATGGGCAGGGTTTGCCGCGTCTTGGAAAAATTGAAAGTTAAAAAGTAATCAGTGTCGGGGAACCATTGACAATGTTTGCGTGAAAAATACCACGCGAAAGCTCTTTTTTTTTTTTTTTTTGGCGTATCTTTAGGAATACCCTGTTACAAACACTATGGTTCCTGAATCTCGATTAATTCATAAATATGAATCGGTAATGGTCAATTTCCTGCAATCCTTCAAGATAGCCTTGAGTGGAGATTAAATTTGCCTCCGAAAATCTTTCTAACGATGACCTGGAAGATTGCCATGATTGAGTGCCACAATTTTTAAGATTTATTCAGTATAATAATACAAATGTTCACCCCAACAGAAGTGGACATACAGTTTTAGCGACCCGAAGAGCTCATTGTCAACCGAGGCAAAGCACTACGATAAAGACTTTCCGTTCCCAATAAATAATAATAAAAAAAAGACATCCCGTTCCCGACATTTTTGGGAGAAAAACCCTGAAAAAGAAACTGATAATTTAGAAATTTATATTAAGAATAAATCATAACGAAATGTATTCCCTATGTACCTATGTACCATAAATTATTTTCATAATTACTGATTACACATGAATATTACAGAAAAAAATAATTTGCCTTTTGTATTTGATAATGATTTGAATTTATCCACTTTTATAGTGATCAATATTGCGTTCCAGTTGAGTTACTAGTGATTACAAGCCTGATTTATATTTCTCTTGCGGTGTTTTTCGTCAATGTATTAAATATAAGTGCTTTGGGAAATAGCATAATTATATTGCGTGAGTGAAAGAGTCTGCATGGTGAGACTGTGTCACAACACGTTTTATGTATTTCCAACGCGCATGGTCGGCGCCTCTGATTGCGTTTATTTTGTATTTTTATATTTTCGAAATGTATCACTGGCTACATTTGTTTTGTGTTTTCCTCAACAATTAACTGTTCCGTGATCTCTTTCATTTTTTGTCCGAGTGCTGCCAATCCAATAATTCGTCGCCACATGTACTCAGACAAGCGATTAATCGTCACAGTCATTATACTAGTAGTTTAAGTCCAATTGATTAGTAGAAATTCAGCTATGCAATGATTATATGTGCAGTTTTGTTTTGCGCACCCAGACACGAGCAAAAGTTAACCCGATAGATTTTCAGCATAGCATTCATATTAATTATGCAAATTAAGTAAGGGTCATAGTGTGAGTTGCGTTCGCAAATAACTAAGTGTCAAATTATTTTGAGCACCGTTCGGAATAAATTTAGTCAAAATCACACACAGAAACACACACACAACACACAAATACTAGTACTCAATACATATCACGATTGATTTACCAGTTATATAGCTGCTTGAACTACGCACACAAGGATGTAAATATGTAAATACAGGTCACAGTTCGACTTGCGTAGCAAACGTTACAATGTGTCAAGTAATTTGAAGGCGTCTTTGTCCCCCTTCCCAATACAGAGAAGCAATACACGTTGTATTTTGAATCGTCATTAAAACCTAAATTTATTACGAATAAAAACATAAGTTTAAACATACAATGTACGATCATTGTTACTCCAGCGGTCGGATGGCAAGCAGACGATGTTTCTGAAGCCAGCCATAGCAGGAGCGAGCGAGCGAGCGTACAAAAGCGAGCAAGCGGAAAAAAAGTTGTCGGTTTTCGGTCGGAAAGCAGTGAGTGGTCGGAAATTAAGCGATAAAAGCGTGAGGTTGGGCGGAATGAGTACTGTATATTACAGTATGGTATATTACAGTATGGTACATTATTGCATGGCATATTACAGTATGGTACATTATTGTATTGTGTATTATAGTATGGCATATTACAGTGTGGTACATTATTGTATGGCATATTACAGTGTGGTACATTATTGTATGGCATATTATTGTATGGTATATTACAGTAACTTATTTCAAGGAAGATTACTCCAGCCAGCCTGTCAATCCAATTACTCAGAATATCCTCTTACCAAAACTACTATACACAAAGTGTGAAGAATTATCATGGTAACACTGTCTTACCTGCGATGTGCTAAATCTGACTGATACAACTGCAGCCCAAGAGATGTATGAACAAACCAATATAGTTTGTCATCATCAAAGTTGAGTGTTAATCCAATTATAGTTTCCCCACTGAAGTCAGGTGATGTTTGATACGTAAAATGATTGTCTCCATTCAGCCTTGAACACTCTACTGTTTTCAATGTAGTCCAGTACAAATATGCATGCATAGAATCTATTGCTAGGTCTGTGGCAGACGATGTCATCACATGCTCTGTATCAAACAGGGTTCCATCTTCAAAAACTAAAGATCGATATATCTGTACAAAGAAAAAAAAACGATTGTACCTCATGACATATAAAATGTTTCATATACCGGGTATAAACAGTATGTACCAATTTTGAACAATTACGAAGTGCATATGAATACAAGATGTATGATGTATTAGCAAAATTTGAATGTGATTGGTTCAGTCATGTCTAAGATACAGATGAAGATTGGGTACACCTTGACTGGTAGTGTGGGTATATATTGTACCCAATGGACTAAGTAAAACTGTGACTGGTAGTGTGGGTATACCTTATACCCAATGGGATCAGTAACACTGTAACAGGTAGTGTGGGTATACCTTGTACCAAATGGGCTCAGTAACACTGTATCTAGTAGTGTGGGTATACCTTGTACCTAATGGGCTCAGTAATACTGTGACTGGCAGTGTGGTTATACCTTGTGACCAATGGGCTCAGTAACACTGTGACTGGTAGTGTGGGTATACCTTGTACCCAATGGGCTCAGTAACACTATGACTGGTAGTGTGAGTTTACCTTGTACCCAATGGGCTCAGTAATACTGTGACTGGCAGTGTGGTTATACCTTGTAACCAATGGGCTCAGGAACACTGTGACTGGTAGTGTGGGTATACCTTGTACCCAATGGGATCAGTAACACTGTAACTGGTAGTGTGGGTATACCTTGTACCAAATGGGCTCAGTAACACTGTAACTAGTAGTGTGGGTATACCTTGTACCCAATGGGCTCATTAATACTGTGACTGGTAGTGTGGGTATACCTTGTACCCAATGGGCTCAGTAATACTGTGACTGGCAGTGTGGTTATACCTTGTACCCAATGGGATCAGTAACACTGTGACTGGTAGTGTGGGTTTACCTTGTACCCAATGGGCTCAGTAATACTGTGACTGGTAGTGTGGGTATACCTTGTACCTGATGGGATCAGTAACAATGTGACTGGTAGTGTGGGTTTACCTTGTACCCAATGGGCTCAGTAATACTATGACTGGTAGTGTGGGTATACCTTGTACCCAATGGGATCAGTAACAGTGTGACTGGTAGTGAGGGTATACCTTGTACCCAATGGCAGTGTTCTCCACGTGGGGTTTTAGCAGGGTGCTGCTCCTGCATAGGAAGTCGTGCGCCCTGCATAGGTAGTCGTGCGCCCTGCATCGGTCAACAAGCGCCCTGCATTGACATTTCCCGCCACCAATCAAATACATTGTATTGTTAGTTGAGTATTCAGTGTTCTCCACGAGGGGTTTAAGAGGGGCGAAGCGCCTCTCTTTAATTTATTTGCGTCCCTCTTCAATTTGTAGCGCCCTATAATTATCTGCAGCACCCTCCTTTGTTTTCAGTGACAGGCTGTTTCACAGTCCCGGAAGATGTCCCGACGACGTTATTGAGAGACAGGCAATAAAACAAAGAACTAAGAGATAGATAGTGGCATAGGTGACAACTAGGACAATGGATTGGATGTCTGGGGAAAAACTGGCTGAATAAATAAACAAAAAACAATGAATGGATGCGTGAAGTGATTGTGCATTGCGTTAATCACGCAATGGGATAGTCAAAACAAGTTTTTTCATCATTCCTGAATTAGCTGAGATACATAAGAACAGGAGAACCAGCAACAATTTATTGGTCTAATTGCTTGTTACTTGCCTTTTATTGGCGAAAAGTAAAAAAGAATCATTAAATAAATCACCAAAACAAAACGTCCGGTAAACCATGGAGCTAAAAAAAGATCCATGGGTAAACACTGAAACAACATGGATGTCACGGTATCTGATTTGACCTTTGTCTTCAGTACCCACAATGCAATCAACATAATAATTAATTTATTTACAGTCATCGGATTTGATTTTTTCTTTTTCTTTTAAATGGTAATTTTGTTATGTGAAAATATTTTTTTTATTATTACTTGGGGTTTTCAGCTATTACAAT